ATGAAGAGATGTACGTACAAAATTTCAATTATGTAGGTTGAATAAATTTAGAGACCTCCAGTACAGCATGAGGATTATAGTCACTAATATTATATTATATATTGAAAATTTTCTAAGAGTAGATTAAAGCTGCTCTTACTACACAAAGGAAGTATGTGAGATCCTGGACATTGTATGTAGATATGGGAGTGTGCTAAAGCTGATTTCTTTGTAATAATCAATATTCTACAGTGTTCTTTTCTCCAGTTCTGATTTATGGAGTCATCATATAGGTTTTCGTCACTTGGATTAAAAACTTTCTACAAAATGCCACAAGCCTGCACACCTTTGTGCAGTTTCCTAACTGCAAAAGTGGCAGAGAATGGTTCCCAGTCCTAGGGGTGCTGTGAGCTAGAAAATCTACTGCACAAGGTCGGGATCTCTGGGGACAGGGTGGCTGTAAGAGAAAAAAAAATCATCTTGATCTATTCTCTGTATCCTCAGCTAGATTTAGGGTTTCCTGTACTTCCTTTTAAATATATTTACTTTTTAAAGAATGTGGCTGAGTTAAATTTTTTGAGCCCCTGATCTTTTGAAATTCTCTAACATTGCAAATGTATATAGTTCTGTCATCAAAATATTATCCAGTTTTTGTTTTCTTTTTTTAGTTTTTGTTTTTTTGAGTTGGAGTCTCACTGTTGCCCAGACTGGAGTGCAGTGGCTGCTCCCGGCCACCGCAGCCTCGACCTCCTGGGCTCCAGCGATCCTTCCGCCTCAGCCTTCCACGTAGCTGGAACTACAGGCGCGCACTACCACGCCTGGCTAATTTTTTGTTTTATTGTAGAGATGAGGTCTCACCTGCCCAGGCGGGTCTCGAACCCGCGGGCTGAGGCAATCCACTCACGTCAGCCTCCCAAAGGCGCGGGATTACAGGCTGAGCCACCGAGCCTGGCATCAGTTTTTGTTTTCAAACCTCATAATTATTTTGGTATTTTTATTGTTCTAGTTAATTATTACCATCTAGTAGTTTGGACCCAGAGTCTTTCATTTCTTTGTCTATTATACATTTTGCAGTAACAACAAGAAATAAAAATTAAGGAAAAAGGCGAGCCTCAGACTAGGAGGAATGAAGCGGTGCTGGTTTTTGACTAACTCATACCAAGGGTCTAATTCCAGTTCTGTCATTACAGACTGTGTGAACTTGGGCACATTATGAAAGCCTACGCACCTCAGAGCCTGCATCTATGAAATGGGTCTGGTAAGGCCCTGTCATGTAAACATGGCAAAGTGTGTGCAGTTAATAGAAAGCACTGGGCACAGTGACTGGCATATATTGGACCCCTTCCTTCTGCTGACTGGTGACTGCACGTTCAGAACAAAGATTTCCTCTCCCTTAGACCTGACACGAAGAAGTGAGGGGAAGTTTTACAGGAGCACTCAGCTCTGAGCCTTCTAGGGCTGATATCAAAAGGCAGGGCAGGAAACATTTTTCTCCTCTCTATTCAAGGGACAATAGTTTCTCCTCTGCTTCCCTGAATTCACTCCAGGTAGGGCCTGGGACTCCCCTGATTTTGACCTTAGGACATCTCATAGTTAGGTCCATATCTCCCTGAGTCCCAATAGGAGGATGGGAGGATGGCCTTATCAGGCCATACACCTGCCAATGATCTCACAAGAACGAGAGCTGTAGCAGGGAGCATGAGGCCCTGAGAAAGGTAGTTCCACACAGAGTCTCAACACAGGGTCCTTAATAACTTCTGGGCAGGCCTGTGATTCCTTCTTTTGTTGATATGGGACCACCACCTTAAGGGCAAGGCCTTCCAATCCCTGCTACACCTGAGTGGGACATGATGGATATCTCCACTTGACATTTTTGTCTGAAGTTCTGAGGGGATACAGTAGAGGAGACTCTTTGTGTCTTTCACTGATTTAGGATGTGGAGTTCCAAACTATTCAATACCCTTATCCTTATTTCTAGAACATCATGGAAATCCTCTTTGACCTGGCTTCAGGCCTATTCCCTTATACTAAGACCCCAGATCCCCTGGAAATTTCTAGAAATAAGTGAAATTTGCCTCACATGGCCACAACTGCTTATGGTCTCTGTAGGCTAACAGTAATTCAAGGATTCTGTGTTGTTCACTTTTTTAAGGATTGGGCCTTCAGAGTCTCCACCTTTACTTTTGGAAATACACCTTCTGCTGGCCTGAGGGTGCCTCCTTTGTTAATTTTCTCATCTCTGTGAGATTACTTGGGAAGAAGTGAGAATGACTTTTCATGTCCCTATGTTCAAATCTCTAAGGGTTGAAAACAAGGACAGGGTTCTACATGACCCTCTTCCTTCTGGAAGACTCCTTATTTTCATTCAGTGTCATCATGTTGACTCCTGTTAGAGAGCTAATGTCCTCTTTGTGCTGAATGGGGCCTTCTCCATTGGTTCAAGAACTTCAGGGCTCCGAGAACAGCCACCCTCCTTCTTTGGTAAATGTGGGTAACCTACACCTGAAAACTGCCTGTGGCCTGCCAGGGCTGACTGCAGAGACAGGACTTTCTAAGAACACCTCTGTTCTCTGTTCATCTTTGTGGAAGTTGGTTGCCTCATTACTCCTATGGCGTTATTACCTGACACCTGTCCTGGCCTGGGACTCCACTCTCTGCTAAATGGGGAGGTCATCCTGTGAATCAAGCCTGTCATTTACCTGAGCTCTTTTAGGTAGAAATGAGGGGAACCTGGGCCTGCCAGCTCTTCCCTGGGCCTTCCAGGGTCAACAGCAGAGGAGATACAAAAGGCAGCCTTGTGGTTTGTGGTTTTGTGGTTCCCATCTTCATATGCAAGGTCTCCACTTGACTTTGCATGCTTCCTTGGATTCCACTCTCTGCTAACCAGAGGCCAAGGCCTTCTAACCAAGACCCCGTCCTTCTGGGACCTGAGTTGGATATCAGTGTCAGGTGGGACGGTTCTGGTCTTCACAAGACTAAGAACTGGGGCATGACTATACGGGCACCCACTCTTTTAGCTGGACACTTCCATCATCCTCATTGAAGTTTTTTCCTTCATTCGTATCAGAGATGGGGAGTCCTTCCTCTCCTGATCAGAGAATGCTATCTTTAGGGTTTTTAAGTTCCTTAGAAACTTGAAAATATATGAGGTGATGCTCAGGCAGACAATTCTATCTGAGAGTGACTGTATTTGAGAGCAGAGAGAGATGATCTCTTGGTAAGATCCTTTAAACTCATATTTGAGGGAGTTTGTGTCTCTCATCATCCGACAAGGAGTGTTGGTCACCCCAGCCCTCATCTTGGCTCTGTTTCTTGGATTAAACGCTTCCTGGTAAATGCCACATCTTTGCAAATCTAGATGAGTTTCCCCTCTGCAAACTTTCAGAGAATGGGTCTCTGTCATAGGAGTTTTGTGAGATTGGACAGCTGTAGCACAAGCTAGATGCTCAGGATTGGAAGGCGGCATCAGAGAAAAAAAAAACCCAAAACACAGAGCTATACCTATGGTTTATCAGTCAGACTTTGATTCTCATGTAACTTCTGATGCATTGACATTCTACAGGGAAGAGATTGAGGGGTCCCCTGATCTTTTATCTAATACTGTAAATGTAGATAATCACTTAATACTGTCAGTACTTTTTGTTTTTAACCTCTCAATTATTTTTTTGGCATTCTTATCTCTCTAGCTATGTATTCCAATCTAGTAGTTTGGGCACCGGTCATTCTTTGTTTCATCTGATATTCATTTGGAATATAGTGATGAAAACTGAAAGACAATTCAGAGGAGGTGCCTCAAGTTGAGAGGACTGGGACAGTGTCGGACAGTTATTCAGACCATGAGGCTAACCCCAACCCTGTCACCACTAGGCCTGTGAACTTTGGCACATTACCAGACTCAGTGAGCCTCAGGCTCTCTATTATGAAGTGGGTTTGATGAGCCTCATCTTTTAGGACTGGTGGAGTATATATAACGAATGCAAAGCACTTGTGACTGTGTCTGTCTTGTACTGGGACAGCAGGTAGTGGTAATTATTAGAAAGATGACTTTGACCTGAGACACTACTTTCCATCTTGCTGGAGATTTTAAATCTCAGGATATGTGAAACATTCTAAGACAAAAGATATTCAGCCAAAATGCTGCTTAGCAATGAAAACTAAATAATATATTCCCTTTGCCACCACTTTATTCTGCTTTTGAAATCTTAATGAAGTTCAAGGTATTGCATCCTCTCCCATAATGATAGCTTCTCTTAGAATCTACACTTGCATGGACAGAAGTTGTGTCTTCTTGGACTAAATATTCCCAGTACAAGCATAAAGACTACCTAAGAGGAGATGCTCAATTAATGTTGGGTTAAGACAGGAGTTATGAATAAAAGGTCTAATTCACTATGACAATTTCTCACTGGCTATGTATTCCAATCAAGTAGTTTGGGCACCTGGTCATTCTTTGTATCACCTTTTACACATTTGGAGCACAGTGATGAAAATTGAAAGGCAATTTTCAAATAACATAGGTCAATCCAGGTATCTATCTTTTAATAAGTATATATACTTATGAAAACAAACTCAAATGGAGTAAAGCAAACCAAGATTAACCAACATTTTTCTTTCTTCTCTCTTTTTATTCCAAGTATTTTACTGGGGTTCTTCACAGGAGTAAAGCAAACCAAGATCAACCAACATTTTCCTTTCTTCTCTCTTCTTATTCCAAGTATTTTACTGGGGTTCTTCACATTTCCAAGAAAATTCCTATCGCAATATCATATTAATTTGTTTTGAAATGCAAAAATATTTCCAATTAACATTTCATTAATAAAACAAAAAACTCTTACTACTAAAGTCATAAACAGCAATAAATGTCTGATCCATGTGACTGGTAAACTTATTTTCTAATCTATATAAACCTTTTGAAGGGAAAACCAACTGAAAAAAATAGTTAACAAATTATTAATGCATAACAGAAACAAAGGTTAATAGGCCTTTTCAAACACAAACTGCAGAATCTGCCACAGACTACACTAAGGGTGAGAGCAGGAGGTGGACTTGGCCTTGGAACATGCACGGGCCTTGGCAGTGATGCCAGACTTGGCTGCATCTCTGGCTCGGGCTCTCTCTTCCTCTTCTTTCAAAGCCTCTTCATAATGGGATGGGAAGGAGCTGGGGGTGGTATCATTGACCTTGGCCAAAAACTCCAGGACTTGCATCTTGCTGCTTTCAGCGAAGGCTCTTGGACCCCACAGGAATTGAAAGCGTGGAGGGTTACTGTTGGGCACCTGCTGGTACTCCAGGTATCCTTCCTGCACCATATCTTGGGTGATGAGCTTTCGGGGCTCCCCATAGATGAAGTGCTTCTTTCCATCATAGATCCCCAACATATTCAAGAATTCCCAGATCTCCTTTTCAGAAGCACGATTACCATTTAAGAAGATCACACCCAGGAGAGGCATCAGAAGCCCATTCTTGGGAAAGCCCCATTCACCTCTCAGACTTTCAACTTCAGTGAAGTCTAGCTTAATGACAAAGGTGTAGGTATTACCACTGGGGTTGACTTTTTCCAAGCCAAGGCCAAATTGCAGCTCCATGAGCTCAGAGGCTCTCCTGAAGATCTCAGGGAAGTGTTCCCTGTATCTTTTGTTGACAAGCCTCAGCATCTCTCCCTTGGTAATGGGCTCTTTTATTTTATACTTGAATACCAGAAGCTGCACCAACATTCCCACTCTCTTAGTTATAGATTCTTTGCGTGAGCTCTCAGAGGATGTTGAGGCCTCAGAAGAATTTTTATTTTCCTCACCTTGCTTCTTAGCACCTTTTTGAGACTTTGTGTATGAAACAGCTGCAGCAGCAGTGGTAGTGGGTGGGGCTCGCTGAGGCTTCTGGGGAGTGCCAGCAGCAGGAGAGCTTGAGACAGCACCCTCGAAATCAGGAGAAGAGGAGGATGGGGACTCTTCTTCCTCTGCTGCAGTGGCCTGAGCAACCTGGAGACCTGAGTTCTCATCTCGGTCCTTGTTGCGTTTCTCACGGGCACGAAGCTTACTCTTCTGACCACGAGGCATGATGGCTGTGACCACAGACAGCAGGGTCTGTAGTCTGGAGTGGTTGGTGTACCCTGAGAAGACAGAATGTGATCCTATGAGTACCTTCAGCTGGGAGACACCACCTTGGCTTTATTGAAGGCGACCTGCCTTTGCAGGTTCCCTGAGGACACTATCCAGAAACCCATAGAGCTCCTGTTCTCTTGGTGGGCCTCTCCCCTAAGCTACCAGAGAGAAACCATAGAACTCTTAGAGTGAGGTTGAGGCTGCATCCTACCAACCCTGCCTTGGGTTTATGGGGTGACAGTAGGTACTGAAAATGAGGCCTCCTGTTCTCTGGTGTTTGGGGTCCTCTCAGTTCATTTTTAGGATCATATCAATTACTGGCAGGGTCCAAGTGACTTCCCTTTGCTACTCTGAAGTTGGCACCTCAAGGCTCCCTGGGAGCCATAGGAGGAATTAAAGGGATGCCTCACTCAACACCTTCACAGGTAATACCCAGTGCTTACAGTTCAGCAGGCTCCTTCTTGTTTTAGAACCACTGCGGTCTTCCGCCCTCATTCATTATCTCCACTTTGTCCTCATGTAAGGTCTGACGCCATCCCTCACTTCCTGACTAGTGAATACATCTTAAGACTAAGAATCTTACCTTCCTTTGATCTGATATAAGAAAGTGAAGGGGGCTCTCAATCTGACAGTCCTTTCCTGAGCTTTCTAGGGCTGAATAGAAAGGGTCAGACTGGATTCTTTGATACCCACTGGGTTTAGGGTTCCATGGTCCTTTGAGTCCTCACTCAGATTTCTCATTTTGGCTCCTGGCAGGTGAGCTCTCCTTTACTTTGAACTGAGGCCTATTTTCTCATAGTAAGAGCCATTCTCCCTGAGACCCAATAGAAAGAAGTGAGGGTAACCTTATTTTACCAAATGTGGTCTGCCCAAGAGTGACATCTGTAACAGGCAGATTATTGCCCTGATAGGCGGTCCCACAAAGGGTCTCAAATCAGCCTCTCTATTGGACTCAGGAGAGGGCCTAAGATTTCTCCCTTTGTTAACATGTGACCACCACTCTCAGACCAATTATTTTTCTGTTTCCCTTGAATCCCATGGGCACCTCTGCCTGACATTTCTGCTTGGGGTCTTTTAGAGCTGAAAGTAGGGAAAATTTTGTGTGGCTTCACTGATATGGGATAGAGCTCCCTGTGCTTGTCGGCATTCTAAAAAAGACACCTGGCAAAACCTGGAAATTCTCCCCCTGCTGATCCAAGGCTGCCATCTTTGACCCAGTTTTTCACTTTTCTGAGGTGTCCTGGAAACAGCGAGTGTGCCTCCTCATGCCAACATGCTCAGGACTCCTGGGTCTGACTATAAGGGTGGGATTTTTTTTTTTGAGTCGGAGCCTCACTCTGTCGCCCAGACTGGAGTGCAGTGGCCGCTCCCGGCCACCGCAGCCTTAACCTGCCGGGCTCCGGCGATCCTTCCGCCTCAGCCTTCCGAGTAGCCGGAATTACAGGCATGCGCTACCACGCCCGGCTGATTTTTTGATTTATTGTAGAGATGAGGTCTCGCTGCCCAGGCGGGTCTCGAAGCCGCGGGCTCAGGCAATCCACTCACCTCAGCCTCGGAAAGGCGCGGGATTACAGGCTGAGCCACCGAGCCCAGCTGAGGGTGGGATTTTATGTGGCCCTTTCTTTTTGGGAGGGGTTCCCTCAAGATCAGTTACAGTCACAGCTCAGACTCCTGTTGGGGACTGTGTCCCTCTGCTGAATTAGGCCTACCTCATTAGACCAAGGTCCTCACTTCCCTGAGACCACCTCCAGAGGACATACGAGGACTCTCAGTTGAACAGGTCTTCCCTGACTTTCCTGTGGCTGAGGACAGTCGCGGGCATGGGACGTAACCCTCAACTTCTTTAGTCCCTAGAGACCAAATCAGGCTGTTCCACATTTGTCACCTCTGCCTGGAACCTCCTACAGCCCAAGGCAGGGACACTGCTGGTTGTGATCTCCTTTAGACTTACAGGTTCCCTCATTATCACACAGGGGGTCACTCGACTTCAATAAGCCGCCAAGTCTCCTCCATCGACAGCATCCGGGCTGCTCCCTAAATCCAAGGCCCTCCTCTCCCCGAGAGTTTCCTGGCCGAACTCTGCTGGATAACTCTGCCGGCGTCTCCCAGGACCACCGTGGAGGAGAGACTTTGTTATGGATGGCGATCATCCCTTCAGTACCCACTCAGAGTTCTCACCTTTAATCTAGAGAGGTCTGAAAATTCACACTTGGCCTTTGGGATTTGCTTTCCTCACACGCCACTCCTTGTCTTCAAAGTGGAAGTGAGGATGAATCACATCCGGCCAGTGGCTGCTCGGGGTCTCCGAAGGTGACAGCAGGGGCGTGACGCTCTGGGACTCACTGTTCTGATCTCAGTGCTCCCTGCGGAACACTCAGTGTTCTCATGGAGATATTAGTGGAGCCTGGAAGAGCTCCCTCTACTGCCCGGAGTCTGCCAACTTCCAAACAATACCTCACCTTGGCAGTCCCTGCCAAGAACTTCTGGGATTGCCCCACAGATTGACCCTGCTGAGCTTCTGGGCGTGAGGGCAAGTTGGAGCTCTGTATCGTCCCCCTTGTGGTCGAAGACCTCTTATCAGGCCTCAGGGTCTTCACCCTGCCCCCAATTAAAGCCAAGACTCTTCGCTGCACAACTGGAGCCACCCTCTTCAAAAAGACCCTTTCCTTTCTCAGATTACACGGGTGAAATGAAGAGAACTCATTTTGGCGCTTCCCAGGACTGAGAACGTCATGGACCTGTATTTGGCTTCCTCTGCTGGTAGGTAGGTGGTCCCCTAATAACCCTTAGAGTTCTCATCTTGACTCCTCTTAGGGACTGGATTTTGTTTCTTTGACCTGGGGTCTTCTGCACTATTCCAAAGTCTTCACCTCTATGAAACATTTCAGGCAAATTGATGGAGTTGCTCCACCTTATAACTGTTCTGGGCATCCCAGGATGACAGAATTGGGGGAATTTATGAGGCTTCTCTGTTCTGGGTTGGGTGGTTTCCTCATTCCTCTCCAGGTTTCTCATTTACATAACTGACCTGCCAGGGTACTCCATCCTCTGATCACCTAAAGCTGTTTTCATCAGACTAAAATACTCATCTTCTAGGGACCTCTAAATTGGTAGTCATAGTGAACTACATCTAGCTATGGCTACCATTTTTGAAGGGCTGACAGCCTAAACTGTGCTTTCACTTTCTCTATTCTTTCTTTTCCTACCTCCTTCCTTCCTCCCTCTCTCCCTCCTTCCCTCCTTCCCTCTCTCTTTTCTTTACTTTCTCTGTTGCCCAGGCTGGAATGCAGTGGTGCCATTATAGCTCACTGCAGCCTCAACCTCCTGGGCTCGGGCGATCTTTCTGCCTCAGACTCCCGAGTAGCTGGGACTATATAGGTGAGCAACACCATTGCCCAGCTAATTTTTAAAATTTTAAAAATAAAGACAAGTTCGGCTGGGTGTGGTGGCTCAAGCCTGTAATCCCAGCACTTTGGGAGGCCAAGGTGAGGGGATTGCCTGAGCCCATGGGTTCAAGACCAGCCTGGACAATTTGGTGAGATCTCTACAATAAATCAAAAAATTTCCCAGGCATGGTAGTGTGCACCTGTAGTTCTGGCTACTTGGAGGGCTGAGATGGAAGGATTGCCTGAGCCCAGCAGGTCAACACTGGGGTGGCCATGAGTGTGCCACTGTACTCCAGCCTGGGCGACGGAATGAGACTTCAACTCAAAAAGAAAAACAAAAGGACAAGTTGTTGGGTCTGCTAGATGAGCTGGGACCCCACAATTTCAGCTGGATTATTCGATCATCCTTATTCAGGGTTCTCACCTTCATATATATCAGACTGAACTCCTTCTACAGACCTGAAATTGACCTTAGGCCACATCCCTGAGATCCCTGAAGATTAATTGAGGGGATGCTCATCCTGACAACTCTGTCTGGAGCTCTCTAGGTCTGAGACCAGATGGGAGTCAGTCTATACATGTCCTCTTATATCCTGGGATATTGGTCTCCCAAGTCCTCTTACTTCAGGATCATCTTGGCTTTTGCTTCTTGGATTAAAGACTTTGTGAGAAATGCCTTATTTGAATGACTAGCTGTTCTGCAAATCTTGCAGAGAAGGGATCCCTGTCCCGGGGGTGACGTAAGAAGGGGCAGCTGAAGCAGAAGGCAGGGGCCTCAGGACAGGTGGTAGGCTGCCAGAGGGGAAAAAAAAATACCAGCCCTTTCCTTCTTGGCAGAGTTAGATTCTCATGTAAATTCTGTTCTTATAGATTTATTTTCTACATGGGAGTGGGCCATCCAGTATGATTTCAGGAGGATCTGATCTTTTGAGATTACCTGACATTGCTTGTGTAGATGATCATATTGTCACCAAGTATTACCCTTCTTTTCTTTATTCAATCCTCTTATTTTCTTTGGTATTCATATTGCTCGGGAAAGGTAATATGAACCAGTTGCATCATCACAATGTTCTTCTTTTTATAGCCTGAGATACATTTTCTAGAAGAAAGTGGAAAACAATTAAGAGACACAAGGTCAGGTTCAAACTGAAGAGTGGAACAGTGTGAGCTCCAGATTAATCCAGGCTGGGGGTCTGGGTTTCAACCCTATCACTTATCAGTCATGTGAACTCAAGCACTTTACCAAACTCTGTGAGCCTCGGGTTCTGAGACTGTTAAATGGGCATAACAAGCTCTGTCTTGTGGAATTGGTGAAATGTGATTAATATATGTAAAGCACCTGGCACAGTGCCTAGCCTGTGTTGAGATTTTAATATGCAGTCATTACTAGGATTAATTTGAACTCCAGTGTTACCACCCACCTGGTAGGATTGTTTTTAATCCAGCAGATGTCAGAGAATATCCAGCACTCTGGAACAGAGAAAACTCAATAAGACAGGTACAGTGGCTCATGCCTGTAATGACAGCACTTTGGGCCAAGGCAGGAGGACTACTTGAGCTCAAAAGTGC